CGTAATAACCTTATAATATTTCTAAACCCAACTGTTATCCGTTGAATTCAAATCCCAAGAAAAATATTAAATTCCCATTCAGTAAAGTATTCATGCATAAATTAGAATGTGTTAGAACAGCCTATGTTGTTGCACACACTTATACAATGTGTAACTTTCATTTGAATTTATAAACACACGTATTCATATACACACATACATACATGTAAGTTTATAACATACACGCCTTATCTTAATGGCAGTGTAGATTTATTTATAAGTTTTCAGAATATAAACAAGTTATAAAGTCAGTGAATCCGGATTACATGCAGGATTACAAAAGCTGCCAAAAAATGGCATCCAGTTGAGCATCCATATACAAGCGACTGAAGAGTGAAACAAATTATTCCTCACCTTCGTATCCTGCCTGGCAAGTACAGGTGTAATGATTAACGTGATCAACACAGTCAGCGTTATTCTGGCAAGGTGACGATTCACATTCATTGACATCAGACAGACATGTTTGTCCCGTGTAGCCAGGCTGACAAGTACAGTGAAAACCATTTACTTGATCGTTACACGTAGCATTGTTACTGCACGGATTGGGTGTGCACTCATCAATATCAGTCTGACACTGTGTGCCGGCGTAACCATCATGACACTGACAACTGTAACTGTTGAAATCATCGATACATTCACCAAATAAACACGGATGAGATGCGCACTCATTCACTTCTTGTTCACATGTAGCCCCTTCATATCCGTCAACACAGTCACATTGAAATCTATAGAAAGTATAAAGTTTGGTGAAAAAAACAAACATTCATTAACATAATTTGTACACAATTTATTTTCGTAATAACTCCCATATGGGCTGATAGAGAGGAACATAGTGAAACTACTAATCACCTTGCCTATGATTTGTTAACTATAATGCGATGTATGATAAAATGTATATCATAATGGTTACAAACTCAATGAAATAACTAAATAATTTATCAACAACTTTAGAGAGTGAGGGTGGTATTTTTGGGGATTCACCAGACTTTCAGTGTAGTAGAGATGTGTGGGACAATGTTCTGACATCATACCCCATTGTAGAGGAAGTCATGATTTAGTATAGCTTTCTTATAAACTAATTAACTGTATGCTCTCAAATAAACCATGAAATAATACTTGATTATGTAGTTAAAGTGATAAACTCTGGAGATGTAGGCTGTAAATTTAAAAAATAAAAAGGCCAACAATTGACTACCGTTCCTATCTGGATTTTGATTGATCAAAGGAATGTACATTGAACATACATGTGACACAATGTGAGATGTACGTGTGAAAACTGAACATGATGGAGCTAAAGATGTCAAGAGATATAGGTACAATTTTTGGATTCTGACCAAACGGTATTTTACAGGTACAATGAGGTCATATGTCATTATTTGTGGTGTGTGACTGAAATAGTATTTGACTTACCCGTCATTTAAATTGATACATGTAGCACCATTCAGACATGGTGTAGGAGCACACTCGTCAATATCAATGCATCCTCCATCATAAGCTGAACATAAGACAAAATACATTCATTTTTGATTAAAAATTGTGAATATTTTTGTATCTGAATGGGAGCGACACAGAAATTGTTTATTTTCAAATTATATATGCACATAAGTTTATCACTATGCAGCAAAAGTAATGAAACGAGCAGCCAGTCGGCTGAGATAGCTCCGCTGTTAGCAATGCACATTTCAATTAAAGAACAGAAGATATCATTAGAAAATGAACAATATGTATAGTATCAAGCAATGGGACTTGCTGTTTTCAACAAGAATTAAAAAATATCACTTTTTACCAAAAATGACAAAAATATTCACCAAAATTAGAGAATTAAAGATATCATTACAATATGAACAAATCTGAGAGAGGTCCACATGTAGTACCTATATATGTAATATAAAAGCAATTGGACTTGCGGTTTTTAACAAGAAGTCAAAAATATCACTTTTTACCAAAAATGACAAAAATATTCACCAAAATTAGAGAATTGAAGATATCATCATGAAATGAACAAATCTGAGAGAGATCTACCCAAGGTACATATACACCAAGTATCAAAGCATTCAGGCTTGTAGTTTTCAAGAAGAAGTCGAAAAAGCAAAACATTGACACGGACGAGACGTCAATGACGACAGACAATCACTCATATGATAAGCTCCGCTCGACAAAGTCGACAGCAGAGCTAAAAAGTAATAAAAAAAAAACATTATGTGCTTCCTGTAGCAGAACGTGCTATATTCAACATTTGTACTTGCAATTTGTACATAAAAATAAGTTAAGTGAGACAACACTGACATTTGATGTCCAGAACATTCACCTGGCAGAATAATACATAATATCAACTGTATTGTAACCTATGATATAACCACAGAAATGATCGAACCATCATATCTATTATGAGCCAGGGCAAGGGCATACTTGTTCTATACTGTAAAATATTTTATTTTAGCTAGAATGAAGAAACTTTTTGTGTGATTTTTATGGAGTAATCACTGGTTTTTGATGAGTTGAATGTCAAATATAGGAAAGAAGGTATATTCACTCAATTTTATTTTACTGAATCACCTCTTCAGCGAAAATAAATTCCAAGGTCAAACAAAATTACTTTGATATTATATATGATGGTGGTAATAGTATCCATGTATGTACTGCAAAATACTTTATTTTAACTGGAATTAAATTT